GGAGGTCCTGCCTTATTTAAAGAACAGAATTCTGGGTATTCACTATCAAAGTCTGATCTTCTCTATGTAGGTATGTGTCATGGCTTGAACAAAGAAGATTTCTGAGGGCCTCTGAAAAACAGTTGTTGATGCTCACTGGTCTAAAAAGGTTACAAAACTATTTCCAAGGAATTTGGATTCCATCAATACACTATCAGGCAGATTGCGTACAAATGGAGACAATTCACCACTGTTACCCTCCCCAGGAGTGGTTGACCAACCAAGATCACATCAAAAGCAACATATATAATACTCTGGGAGGTCTCAAAGAACTCCAGGATAACATATAAGGGCCTCTTGGTGAATGTCACTGTCAATGAGAACACTGAACAACAATGGTGTCCATGGCAGCATTGCAAGGATAAAGCCACTACTCTCAAAAAAGAACATTACTGCCCATCCACAGTTTGAGAAAGACCACATGGGTAAGCCAGGCTATTGGAAGAATGTTCTGTGGGTGGATGAAACCAAAACAGAACTTTTTAGCTTGAATGAAAAGCGTTACATTCAGCGAAATGCAAATACTATGTTCCAGCATAAGAACATTATTCCATCTGTGAAACACAGTGGGAGCATCATGGTTTGGACCTACTTTGCTGCCTCTGGACAAGGACAGCTGTCATTGATGGAAGTATGAATTCTGAATTGTACCAGCATATTCTACAGGAAAATGTCAGGGTATCTCTATTCATGAACTGAAGCTCAAGAGAAAATGGGTCATGCAGCAAGACAATGACCCAAAACACACAAGTCATATGATCAAAGAATGGTTAAAGTGGAAGAAAGTTAATGTTTCAGAATGGCCAAGTCAAAGTCCTGACCTTAATCCTACAGAAATGTTATGGAAGCAGGCAGTTCATACAAGGAAACCCACCGTCCCTGTGTTGAAGCTGTTCTGTAAGGAGGAATGGGCTAAAACTCCTCCAACCTAACGTGCAGGACTGATCAATAGTTATCTGAAACACTTAGCTGCAGTTATTGCTGCCCATGGGGGGCACATCAGTTACTGAAAGCAAAGGTCTGCATACTTTTGCCACACACAAATATGTAGCTTTGGTTAATTTTCCTCAATAAATAAATGAACAAGTACAGGTAGTCCCTGGGATAAGAACACCTGGGTTACAGATGACCCATAGTTAAGAATGGAGCCTATTGTAGCAAAATTTGAGTTAAATAGACAATGACTTGAGTTAAATACACAGTGGTTCGAGTTCATAACACAATACTACTTATAGAATATTATACAATAATACTGTTGTGGCTTACGTACAAATCTGACTTAAGGGTAGACCTCGGGAACAGAACTTGTTCTTAAACTAGGGACTACCTGTATAATGTTTTTGACTTATTTGTTTAATTGGGATTTCTTTATCTAGTTTTATCTTTTTTATCTAAATTGGGTTTTCTTTATCTAGTTTCTAGTGGAGACCACATTTTAGGTCATATTTATGCAGAAATATTGAACATTCAAAAGGGTTCACAAACTTTTAAGCACCACTGTAGTAGGGTAGCAGTTCATTCAAAGTAACATAAAACTCAATCATAAAACACACTCCTTTGTTCAAATTACAATTATCTTGTCAGAAATCAGTAGCCTTTTGTCAGTAAAATTTGCCTGCTTCTCACTGAGAGTTCATCTACTAACCAGCTCTCTTTCCCCTGCACTCTCATCAAATACTAAAATCCTCAAGGCAAAGTGCAAAGCAACTTTCACCAGTCTGCGGGTTGCCAGATGTGTTATACCACAATGCTTATTTTCCCAGCCACTTTATTTTGATAATAGAGCAGAAGACTAACTATTTGGAGTTGACTGCCAGAGTCAGTCAGAAAAACAGGCTGACAAGGGAAAAATCTCCCAAATCAGCCCATTAGTAGCATCCTTCAAGGAAAGGAAGAAAATACAGAAGCTAAAAGTGAAGATGATTCCAAATTCATCAGCAATCTACAGCTCTCTGCAGAAAATATATACAGACACTCTCAAAATATGGCTAGCAATCTCTACAATCTAGGGGACACTTCTTAATACCCTACCCAGTTTCTCCTCTCAACCTCTATGGCAAGACAGACAAAAGCTCCACTCCCCCCCCACCCCCGACCCTCAAATAATCCTGCTACATCATTCTAAAGATGCACCAATGATATGATTTAGGAACTCTCCAATTCTAATCTTGCTTATGCAAGCTACTCTTATTCCACTCTCTATGTAGTGTCAAGCACCATTTCCACGATATATTACAATAATTATAAATGGAAGGATTAGAGAAGTGACATGCAATGCTTCCCACACCTCCAATGCCCATCAGCCAAAGAGCTGCAGCTCAACATTCTCTGGAGGGTCACAGGTTGCTCATCACTGACAATAATGAAGACCCTCCAGAGTCGCACATATGTGCCAATTCATAACAACCACAGTATGAAATAAGCGAACATTGCACATTTTGGCTCCGTAGCGGGCAAAACGGCTGCAATTCCCAGAACAAAAATGTACGACTGTTTTCCATGGAAAAATAGTTATTGCTTTTAAAACAGGAGCCACCGCGACGTTATTTTCAACGGGCAGCAGTTGGGGAGACGCGTCATTCCCCCGCGAGGGGCTCCATCAAAGCAGAAAGGTGCATTTGCCGAACGCCCGCCCTGCAATCGAGACTTAAAGGGGCAGAGCGGTTAAAGGCTCCGCGTCACCAGGAGAGCCCGGCTCGCCTTCCGCAACACTTCCATTCCCCGGTTTCTGCGCCGCTCGAAAGCAACTGCCGAGCCGGGCCAGGCAACTCAGGGCGCGCTGAAACTCACCCAGAACCAGGACGACGAACACGGCCACCGCCACCGAGATCAGGAGCTGGACCTGCGCCGCGTCTTGGGCCGGCAGCAGCGCATCTTGAGAAGGGGAAAACCCCTCGCGCTCGGGCGTCACTTTCACACTGTTCATGCCGAACCGCTCACCACGCGCGGCAGCTTAATCTGAATAACGTGTCCTGCTCTGGAACCGTCATCTTCCGGTTTCTACGGCAAGTAGTTGGCTGCTGGGACAGAGGGTTATGTCCCAAGAGATTTATGGGAATTGTAGTTCACACTTCTTCAAGTAAGGAAAAAACGAACAGCTGTGTAATTACATTGGACTACAACTCCCAGAATTCCTAACGAAGACAGCAGCGATATGTCCTTGGTCGGGTAGGCGTAGCCTTAAAATCAAATGTTGTCCGACTTTTCGAGTATCTACAAGCTATCTCTTCCGGAGTAGCTTTTTTAAAAAGCGCTAACCACAAGTCTGCTCTGTGACCTTAATTAGTTGATTAGTGCCCTGGGCTGGCTTTCACTGATGCCTGAAATTGACGAGACCTTAATTAGTTACATGCTGAAGGATTTTGCCTCCTAACCGGCTCGCAGAGCAGGCTGGCAAACAGCCCGCACTAGCACATTCCTCTCAATGTGTATTCCCCATTGTGTGCCTGTTTACTCACTTGTCATCCCTTCCACTCCAATGAAAGTAAATACAAATATTATACAGTTACTGCACCTTCCTTCCCCCCCCCCATTTGCTCTCCTTTCCAATTGTCCCTGTCCTCCTTTGCCTGCTCAGATATCTGGTAACCCTAGGTGTACCCCCTCCTCAAAAGGCCTCCTTGGACCCAACACTTCTCAACAACTACCAACCAGTCTCCAGCCTTCCCTTTTTGGGGAAGGTTGTTGAGACAGTAGTTGGTCTGCCCCTAATAAGAACCCTGGAGGAAATGGATTATCTAGACCCATTGCAGTTAGGTTTCACGCTGAGATTTAGTACTGAGACAGCCTTGGTCGTATTTGTCAATGGCCTATGGCGGAGCTGGGATAGAGGTGGTGTGTCCATCCTTGTGCTCCTTGATCTCTCAGTAGCTTTCGTTACCATCAACCACAGTATCCTTCTGAGCCAGCTCCATGAGCTGGAGACTGGGGTCACTGTTTTACAATTGCTGTCTTCCTTTTTCCGGGGCCAGTTCCAGTCAGTGTTGGTTGAGGAGGCGAAATTACTCCCTAGGCCCCTCCTGTGTGGGATACCACAGGGTTCTACTCTCTCTCCCCTCCTTTGTGACATCTATATGAAACCACTGGGTGAGGTCATCCTCTGGCTTGGGATTTGATATAATCAATATGCCAATGATACCCAATTATATATTTCATTCAAAGTTGGTATGCAATGGGGAGAGGGGCATCCGTCCTGGACTCGCAGCTCCTGTTTGAAGAGCAGGGGTCAGCTATGGCCAGGAAGGCCTTTACACAACTCCATTTAGTGCAGGAGTTGTGCTTCTTCCTAGATCCAGTGGCCCTTTAGACAGTCATTCATGCCCTAGTCACCTTGCAGCTTGACTACTGCAATGTGCTCTACATGGGGCTGCCCTTGAAAACTATCCAGAAGGTTCAACTGTTCCAAAATCCAGCAGTGTGAGCAGTGATGGACATGCCCTGGTATGCCCATGTAATATCTCTGCTTCATGAGCTACACTGGTTGCCAGTTTGCTTACCTGGTGCCATTCACATCTCCTATTGTCCCTTCAACAAGGCTATCATGTTAGTGAGAAAGGCAGCCACCCTGGAAGACATTTATGGGGTCCCCTCCTAATCAACTTTCTAGACTGAAGAAGCTGCTTGGACAAGAAGCGAAACATATCAAACCAAAAGAAAAGAAGTCCAGTTGCCATGACTCAACCTCCTGATAATTCCACCTGGATGACTGAAAATCTTTATCAACATATTCAAGGTGCTTGTTGTAGCCCATAAAGCTCTACATGGCATAGGGCCTGGTTACCTGAGGGACTGTCAGTCTCCCATAGCATCTTCCTGGCAAATTCGATCCTGCAGAGTTGGCACACTCTGGGTTCCTTTGATTAAAAAATGTCATCTATCAGGACCCCAGAATTATTTATTTATTTATTTATTTATTTATTTATT